TCCTCTGTGTCCCATCTTGTACCAAACGAAACCAAAGTGGGTTTATTTTGAGTTTCTTTCTCATGCTTCCTTCTTTCTTAGAAGATTCTATAATCTGTTCTGCGTGTCCCCCCATACCTGCTCACTCCTTCCTTCCCCAAGTTCTACATTCCTTTCCACTTAATCGCTATGCCACCTTGGCCAAAATGATGACTTTTTAAACGTGCATTGGCTCATTTGAAACGGTTAGAACCTTGATGACTATAATAGATGCACTAAAAAGGGGAGTTTGCTTAATTGGTTGCAAAGCTCGTGCAAGTCATGTGCCCCCAGTAATATTTTTATTTTTATTTTTTGCAGGAATGTAAGTTCGGATGGCGCTGAAGCACGCCGAAGACTCCGGGAATGTGAAGGCTTAGTGGATGCTCTTCTTCATGCTCTGCAGTCTGCAGTGGGCAAAAAAGATACGGATAACAAGGTAATCCCCTGGCTCCATCTTCTGAAATGGAGTCATACTTTGGAGGAGAAACCCTTGCCTTTCTTGCATGTGAATTTTCTAGAAAGTAGAAGACATGGGATGTGCTGAGGGCATATGATCCCAGTGATACCGTTTATTTAGATTTTTCTGCCTGTTGGATTGGGGATTGTGCTGACAAAGGCTTCCAACAGCTTTTGCTGACCTTGTGCTCTCAACAGAGAATCTGTTGGCTTAAAAAACGAGCAGGTCTTGCTTCTTAAAATTTCGGCCCTCTCTTATGAAAAGCTCATTCCTTTTGCACATCCTGATTTGCCACAGTTGCTTAACCATGATTTGCTGAATAAGCCACAATTGCCAGGCTGGATCTAGCACATTCAGGCCTAAACAGCTAGCTAAGGCAAAGTCAAGCAAATCACATAATGATTCAGTGATGTGTGAATCCTGTCATCTCTTGCAGTACAACTTACTCACAAAGTCAAGCAAATCACATAATGATTCAGTGATGTGTGAATCCTGTCATCTCTTGCAGTACAACTTACTCACAAAGTCAAGCAAATCACATAATGATTCAGTGATGTGTGAATCCTGTCATCTCTTGCAGTACAACTTACTCATCTGTCCTAGAATTTTGGGGTCTTTTCTCATCCCATGTTTGGGTAGATTTGATGTACATGTCTTCTCCGGGCTTAGTCGGAGTGGGGGATGATTGAAGTTGAAGAACCTTTCTATACGAGCCATGGGGTCTGACCTGAGATAAGGCCTTTGCTCTAAAGTCAGTTTGTTCCAGTGGTTTGACTGTTACTTTGAATCAAACCACTAGTCCAGGGGTTCTTAAACTTGGGGTAATTACCACTGCTGTAGTCCATCTCTCCAAGGTTTCAGACAGAGTCCTTCTCCGAAGGTGTGCAGAATCAAGCTTGGCGAGTTCTACATACAAGTCTTATCCTCTACTGCTCAGTTACTGGCAGTTGTGCCTCTGTGTTGAAGGCACTCACAGTTTGTGAATAAGTATATGTTTTGTGAGGAGGGCGGGGTTGGGGCACATTCCAGCAAAGCTACCATATGGAATGTAGAAGCTTTTGCTGCTGTTTCCAGATTCTTGACAAGCCCTAACAAATTAAGCTGCACTATGGTCTTTCTCTTTTTGCCATCTGCAACTCATTAGCTAGAGATTGAACCTGGGGGAGGATGGGTAGGGCTCCTACACCCCATGTAGGCTTTCTGGCTTTGAGCAGTAGCGCAGATGCGTGTTGTAAAATATCATTTTCCTCTAGCTACTTTATAAATTGTGAATATTTGCTTTGATGGGTTTTTCCTTTATTAAAATCTAGAAGTCACTCATCCATTGGCCTGCTACGTTGGTTGCTCCATTTGGAAAGGTAGCAGGGAGTGGAAAAGAGCCTTCTTCGGCTTGAAACCATGGAAGGTTCACAGCTAGCCAGAGTAGAAGATCCTGGGTTGGGTGGAGAATAGTTGGATTTGGGTGAAGGCCATGATCCCTGCCTTTTCAAAGCTTTTGCGACATCTCTGAGGACGTTTCAAATTGTGATGGTTCTCTGACATCTTATATCTTTTTCTTTGGGAACCACCTTGCCTCAGTCGGTAGAGAACTGCGTCTGCATCATGAGGAACCTCTCCTACCACGTCCACAAAGAAATTCCAGGAGCCGACAAGTACCGAGAACTAGAAAATAGCCAACTGGGAAGTCTGGGAGGTTCTCAGAAGAAGAAGAAAGATGACGCCGGCTGCTTTGGTGGAAAAAAGGCCAAAGGTGCGTGTTCTGCCTCTTGGAGTGATGGGGCAGGTTATGCCCAGCCTGTAATCTCATTGCAGGACTGGTTAGGCCTATGCCAGCCTTTTCCAACTGGTGCCCTCCATTGCCTTGGGACTCCAAGTCCCAGAATTCCGAGCAAGCTAGCCTGGTTGATGATCAGGGATGCTGTGTGTTGCATTTCAGTAACATCTTAGAAGTCACCATTTTCCTCCTCCTGATTGGAATTGCAAGCAGTGAACAGGCAGATTTTAATTGTCCATCTCTCCTGAATTTTCCCTCTTCAGCATGATCTTCTGAATGCACTGATCATGAAGATGGTTGCTCAGCTCTGCTCCCCTCTCTTTTCTATTTCTATTATTACCAATCTGTTTCCTCTCCTCCCCCTTTCCCTTTTTCGGCCTCTCCAACTCAAGAGGGCTACATTATCGTTAAGAAAGTCTGTCTATATTTGTAAACATTGTGGGAAGAGAGCCCTGTTAGTCTGTGGCTAGTCTGAGGTAGCCCCAGATCAGGAGCAGATTCTGGAAGTTGAAGTCCACTCACCTTAAAGTTGCTAAGGTTGAGAAACACTGGTCTATGGTCTAGACTGCATCAAGATACAGTAAGTAAGACTCTTAGCAACCCCTTAGGAGGAAGTTTAGATTCCTGCTGGATCCTTTCTCAGTGAAACATCTAAGAAGGAACTGATCTCAGAATTTAGTTGCATTTTCTTCTCTAGCCATGGTGGGTAATGAGCAATGGGCAAACCGTTTCAAGCATCTTTGAGCTTCCTTCACAAAACAACAGACTGGCACCATGTGAATTAGGAAATCAACCAAATCTCGCATGACCATGGCTATAGCGTCATCATGCTGTGACCTCACCTCAACTAAAATAACAGACTGTGCCCCCTATGGATTAAGAAATCAACCAAGATGTCAAGGGCTTCCCTGTCACCAGCAGTCATTCAGCACTCTTCCACAACCTTGGTCATCCAGATAGGTGGCACTACCTCCCCCAGAATTCCCATCCAGCATTGGCCATCCAGATTTTGTTTGCAGATTGCCCTAACAGCTGCAAAAGAGGAAGACCTCATGTGGATGGAGGATCTGTCTGTTGCACCATTGCTGATTTTTCACAGGAGGCCTTGTCACCACTACCCCACTCTGGGGACTGTGTGTGGGCATCTGTGAAGGAATATCTGTATATGGGTAGAGCAGCATTTCTCAACCTCAGCAACTTTAAGGCATGTGGACTTCAACTCCCAGAGTTCCCCAGCCATCATCCTCAGCCAGAATCCCCTAGCATGCTGGGTGGGGAATTCTGGGGGTTGAAGTCCACACACTTTAAAGTTGCTGAGGTTGAGAAACACTGGAGTAGAGATTCCCATGAATACTTCCTTGATGGGTAGGTTCCATGGACCCAAATTGGCATGAACAGCCCCTTTTGTGAAAGATATGACCAAAAAAGAGCAAACATTTGGGCAAGATACATACCAAAATGTTTGCAAGTTGAAAAACATATAACAGAGGCATTATCCTAAAGAGGAGAACACAACCATGCAACAGGAAATTACTTTCAAAAGAACAGAGGGCAAAGTGATGCTAGAAATGCGTAGACTAGAAGGAGATGCCTGCAGGAACTCTGAATGCTAGGGGAAGTTGCAAACAAAATGTGGATGGCCATTGCCAGCTGGGAATCCTGGGAGTTGTAATCCTGCCTATCTAGATGATCCAGGTTACAGAAGAGTGCTGAATGATCGCTAGTGACAAGGGAAACCTTTGACGTCTTGGTTGATTTCTTCATCCACGCGGGGGCACAGTCTGTTGTTTTAGTTGGGGTGTGGTCACGGCGTGATGCTATGGCCATGTGAGAATATGCTAAAACACATACTTTTATCTAAAATTTTCCCAGTCCAAAAAGAAGGTTGAATCTATACAGCCCCAGCAAACATTTGCCCCCAAATTAGGAGCTAGGGAGGAGCAGAAGTAATCCAATCTTCAGGCATCTTTGTACACCTGCTTTGGAACATATGTTCGGCGAGACAATGCAGGATGTGATTTGCACTTGTACGCTGAGTCAGGATCCTTCTCTGGAATGTCATTTTAACTTAATCTGGGTTGAACCAGGCCAGCATGTGGCTTATACCTAAAGTGTAACACAAGGCAGGTTTGTCAGTATCAAATCACAGTGAATGCATGGCGTTCGGTAATCCTGCACCTTTCCAAGCAGCTGTTCCTCTGTTCAGACCAGGAAGTCTTTAGCAGTGATCTTGGTTGCCGTGCAAGACCAGATACCTGACCACAACTGAGGCAAAAAATGGGAGAGAAGGTGGAGGTACTTGGCAGGCAAAAAGGGAATTTGGAGCACTGGTGTACCTGTGGATGTGTGTATCAGTTCAGGGTCCTGATGGAGGCACACAGCATTGGGTGCTCTTCCATACAGAACTATCTCTCTATGTAGGAAACTAACATGCCAAGAAGATTGGTCTACAATGAGTTGCCCTGATGGGTGGAATTTTTACAGGCAGGGGTTTACCAGCACCCCCCCCACACACACACACACACACGTACACACAGACATGCTGCCCCAGTAGCACTGAATAATGCAGTCCAAAGAGAGAAAGCCCAGAGCCAGATCTACAGTATTGATGACTGAGTTGGAACATGTTGATCCAACGACTACAAGTGAGCACCCTTTTTTAGGCTCATAAAATGAGATTGATACTAAGAACCTACAAATTTATCTTGTGTCAATCCTGTGCATGAGATCCATCTGCAGCTGACAAAGGTTTGCCCACTTCTCCCTGGTGGTCCAAAATTCCCTTCTCCTCCTACCACTATAAATCCCATTTGTGTTGGAGGTAGCCTCCTCTTGGTCCCCTCCCAAGAGAAAACACACGCTCTGGGATTATCTGGGGGGTGAGTCATTGCCATGACTCACCCCCCAGATAATTCCACCTGGATGACTGAGAATCTCCATCAACACACGCTTTGGGATGTTCCCACCAAATCCACACCAAAAGCAGAATGGCAGGGACAGAGTACCCCTTTGGGAAGGGGGGAGAACCAAGGTGCCCCTCTCATCTCAGAAGCTTCAGAGCCTCTGCTGGTCTCAGTTCACAGGTTTAAAATCTGTTTTGCACAAGTTCTTGTCTGATTTTCCTTTTGGTTTAGTCTTTATTTTTTGAAAACTTTTGTTTGTTTTCACTCTTACCCCCCTTGGACTGCTTTTCTGGTTATTAGAGGAATGGTTCAATCAAGGTGAGTTTCTGTCTCTTTCTCCTCTCTCCCCCTCCCCCTGGTCCCCATTTCTTTTTTTCACTTGGCTAGGTTTTTCTCTTCTTCCTCCCTTCAATGTAAGGATAAAAGCTGGGAGAAGCAGAGGCTGGGTCTCTTGCTTTCCTTTCCCCTGTGTGCATGTATCACGTCTTTTTTTCGTCCTGCTTGTTTTCTCCACTGCCAGGATATCCAAGAGGCTATGATGAATTTGGGCTGAATTTAGGGGAAGAAAGGGGAGATTTCAGAATAGCTGGACACCACAAGCAATGTTGTGTTCCTTCTCCTCCTCCTCTTCTTCCTCCGTTATGAAAAAAATATATATCCTCCCTTTTTCCCTTCCTCTTCTCTATTATTATGAAAAAATTATTCTCCTTCTCCTTCTCCTTCTCCTTCTCCTTCTCCTTCTCCTTCTCCTTCTCCTTCT